CTACCTCGTTCCTGTTGCTGCCGAGACTTTAGGGCACCTGTGGCTCTGTCACCACTTAAGGGCTGGGAAGAGTGAAGTGTCACCCGAGCCTCCTCCCACCCCCACTATCCCATTTGAAGTCTTTGGACGGCTTCCACCTCCAACCGCTCCTAATTCTTGGTGATCAGGTTGGTTTTGCAGGTCCTAAGACAGCACTCACTTAAAAGAAAGCCTGCAGGCAAGTGGGAAATAAAATACATTTCTATATTATTTATTATTTAAATGTTGATTTAGTTAGCTCTTGTATGGATTGTTCAATTTCCTGAAACAAAGCTACATAAATATTCTGATAAATTATACCTGTCATGTTCTGATAGATACTCTCTGCTGTTTTCTTGGAAAAGTAATTTTAAAAAAATATACTTGTTGCTGCAAAACAGAAACTTACTTTCCATTATAAATATATATTGAGTTTTATGTCTACTTAACACGTCTAATACCTCAGTTATTGGCATATATAGAATTATACCAAGCTCTGTGTCCTGCACAACAATAAAAATAAAACTCACTTGATGCATACATTAAAACTTTTTGTGTTAAGAAAGTACAAACATTTTTAGGGTTTTTTGGACATTTGCTGCTTAAGTATTACATTAAATAAATATGCATTTTAATATTATATTAAATGTATGCTATATTGAATCCACATATATGACAAACATATTATAAAATTCATGTTTTAAATACTGTTGTTACCTTTGGGCATAACTAAACATAAAAGCTATATGGTTAAAATAAAAGTAACTTGATTGAACTCATTGCAACACTTGACTTGAATTCCCACTGGCAGTTAACAGGACATGAACGAGAACATCCCTTTGTGCGTGGACCACAGCAAGGAGCCCTGCTGGTCTTCCTGGCCATAGTTGAGCAATCGGCCCATGTGGATACACAAGATGGTCCTCTCAAATGGATCAGAGCTTTGTTATTTATTTATTAACTACTCATGTTGGATCCAGGTGTGCACTGTGTGACTGTAGTAAGAGATGTATTTACAGTCCATCCAACATTTGTTTATTAGACTATCTTGGAGGGGACCCTAGGAGACGGGGGCTAATGAAGGTGTACAGGTCACATAGCTTGATGTTCCTCCTGACTGTGAGGGAGCTGGACACTCAGATCATTCTCCTGCACTGGAGCTGGCAAGTTTGATGCACTTCTGACTGAAGACATTGGTAGGATTCTTTCAATGTCTTCAAAACTAGTTTTGGTGGTGAGTGCATGAACTTGAATAGCCCTAGTGTTGGCTGGATTTCCTTGAAAGAAGATAGATATAATCCTCTCACAGATAGTAATGAACTTCAATATAGATCTTGAAATGTCCTTTTTGGAAATGAATTCAATGTCGTTGCTCTTGATTGTGTCATTGTCAGCAGAGTAACCTATGATTTTTTAAATTCAAAATGGCCGATCCCAGTCCATTTCAGCTCACTAATGCCTAGGAGACCAATCTTGATACATTCCATTTCATTTTAGATAGCTTCTAATTTTTCTAGATTCTTATTTTGAGCATTCCAAGTGTGGATAACTTGCAAACTTTGCCACCTGTTTCTTCTCATTTTAAGTTGTGTCTGATCAATAAACAAAAATTCTTGCAGGCTTTACTCCAATAGCCTTTAGTCCATTGACATCTCCATGGTCAAGTCTACTTTGAGAAAGCAGCTCCCTCTTAGTCACATTGTGGGTGCCTTCTGACCCCAGGGCACCCTCCTCCAGCACCGTCTCTGTCCATGTTCTACTTCCGTGCAGGAGGCTGTCCGCATTGGAGAGAGTGCTGAGGCTACGCCTAAGGTTTCCCACAGCTACTTCCTCCAACGTGGGCAGCCATCGTTTGGTTGTGGTCTGTTCTTAGTCTGGACGCTCTGCTGAAAACTGACCCTGGCTGGCGTTTCAAAAACCCGAGACATAGATTCCAGCATCACAGGGAGACACCAGCCACCGCAGTACGACCAACCGACAGGCAATTCTAGGCATTCGAGAGCTGAAATGGACTGGTATTGGCTCTTGGAATCAGAAAATCACATGGTTTACTCTGACAAATTCAAGAGGAATGGTGTACATTCATCACCAAAAGAGATCGGTCAAGATGGATGTTAAGGTACAATGCTGTCTGTGAATGGACAGTATATCTGTCACTCAAGGAAATCACTACAACTATCATCCACATGTATGTACCAGCCACATAACACACATGGTGTGTCACTGTCTGTCCACAGCGATTAAAAACCCAAACAGGACTTCTTATGGAGCAGATCCAACAGACACACAGGGGGTTGTCCTGAGGCTGAGTGGACTCCTGGCCTTCCGCTGGTTGGACTGTGGTATCACTTGTAAGCAGACAGCTTCACACCCTTGCTCAGAAGATGGGCTTTTAAACAGGCAGAGCAGGGACCATGGAGAATCCCCCAGGGAAGATGGAATATAAATTTCTCACACACCAGGATAAACTTCAAATGGATCAGGAATATTTTTGAGGAAAAAAAAAAAATAGAGCCATGCTCAAACTGGAGGAAAGCACCCCAGCAATGACGGTTCAATTCAGGGAGTTTTTCTAAGCGAGACTCAACATGCAGAACCAGCAACGGGAAATGCTGTCACATATGAGTTCCTAAGAAAATCTCTGGGCAACCTTGCCTCCAGGAGACTCTAAGAGGCTGTCTGTATCCCCAGCCCCTCCCTTCATTCCCCTGGGCTTCCCATTCCAGACAGGCTCCGCCCAGTTCCCCATCTAGCCTGGCAGCTGACTTGAGGGATCTTATCTCTCTGTACCTCAGCTTCTGACTCCAGCCTTTCCTGCCTGCATCCTGCAGCTACAGTAAGACTTTGGGGTATGTGATGGCTTGGGGACTTGCTTCCCTAGTGGGATCCGGTTTTCGTCTGTCATTAGGACAAAGGCTGGGGGAGGGAGGTGCCTGGCCACCCTCAGAGGACATCCCAAATTCCTTGCTCATACATACCCGACCCCCACCAGATCCATGTCTAGGCCAGGGTCCCTGAAGGAGGCCACAGGGGCACTGAGTGGGGAGCAGGGTGGGCTTGCATGGGCTGGGTCCTCCTGAAGAGCAGCCTATGAACTGATCCTTGTGTTTGTGCAAATGACACGGTGAATGACGGGTTAGACTCATCTGGAGAACAGTTGGGGATGGATGGCTAAGATGACCTGGAACTAAAGAACTGAGGGAGAATGACAATAAGGAATACCAGAGTTCTACAGAAAAGAAAAAACACAAAACACAAAAACGAGTTCCCAGCTCATTACTTGCTTGGCTGTAGCAACAGCATTTAATTCAATCCAACCTTTGGGATGTGCCCAGAGAAACCTTGGTGGCCCACACTCACCAGGCAGTGAGGAGAACAAGGCCAGCAGTGCAGGTGCCCCAGGGTTGTGTGCATTTGGGCTTTGGAACCGTGAAGAGAATGCCAGAGGGAGAGGGCAGATTGCCTTGGGAATGGTGGTTTCTGGGGAGCTGTGAGGGGCGGGATGGAGCCTCTGGTGTTTGATACTCTCTCTCCTTAGCCTTATGGAATTGGTCAACTAAGTGCCTGTGCTGTAATTCCATAAAAAGAGACACTACTAAAAAAATTAATATAGTGTGATGAGGCTCCCAAAATAGAAAGATAAACAATTTTTCAAGAACTCTGAAACAAACAACAATTGGACCTACCGTGAGCACACATAGGGCTTAGTAGACAGTCAGTGCTAATGGGAATGGGCAGGTGGAAGCTCAAGGCTCACTGACAGCAGAGCAAGGGCTTCTGTTTGTAGAAGTGATGCTTGTGGAAAGAGAAGAAATCAGAGGAATAAAAATCAGAATAATTAACATTGTCCAGAAACCATTAGTGACGCGTATTTCCTTCTAGTCTACTCATTATGCATCCTTTTATCATTATTCCCAACTTACATAATGAACTGAACAGTCTCTTTCAGTTTAATATCTTCCTTCTTTTAACTCAGTATTACATGGTGCTTTATGATTTTTTTTCTCATAAATCTGCTCCTATTCCACCATGGATATGACAGGACCTGGTAGTACGGACTTCATCGATAGCTTGGACTCCTGTGGGGAGCTCTAGAAAGAACCTTGAAGGTGTTTATTGTGTTTAAGGCTTCCACACATCTGTGTATGTGGTTTGATTTAGCATCTTTGTATTACGATTGTTTGTTAACCGTTTTTTCAATGGTGTGTTATTCTGAAGATGTTATCCTTTCTTCAATCCTATGCAAATATCCAAACATCTTTTTTTATTTTGTGATTTTTTAAAATCACACTGAATTATTTTTGTATTCATAATAATAGACAGAGGCTTCATTAATTTGATGGAAAGGTGGAATTAAAAGATGGCAGACTTTTATCACTTAAACTTTTGAAGGCGTTTAAAATATAAACAAGAAAAATAATCAATCACTTAATCTATGTATATTTTCCCTTTGCTTTCTAATTTAAGTGAAACTTTAATGTGGGTCAATAAAAAGATCAAACAATAAGATATTTCATTTTAACCTGACTGCGATGCTCGCTGAATAAAGAGCAAGCCTAGTCTGATGAATCCCCTGACCACAGACCAGAGATCTGAAATGGGCTCGCCATCACAAGAGCACCTTGGAGAGTGGATTAAGGCAGATGCAGTTAGTTTAAAATGAAAACCTTATCATTTGATCTTTCCTTTGACTCGTTTTTAAATTGTCCTAGTTTTTTTCTATTTTCTGCTTTTATGCATTAGTATTGTAGGCTTTTTGGTTTGTTTGTTTGTTTGTTTGTTTGTTTCTGCATGGTTTCTGCATATGAAATCCAGGATAAATAAATCTATAGGGGCAGTAACTGAAATAATGGTATTGGGAACTACGTCAGAGGAAACTGGGGAGACAATAACAATGAGTAGAAGAAAGAAGAAAAGATTCTGGAATGGATCGTACTAATGATTGTACAATTCTTTCACATAGATTGAACTACTGAATTATAAGGAGCCCGAGTGAAGCAGTAGTGAGGTACAAGGTGGGTTGGAACCCAAAAGGTCAGCTGTTCAAAAACACCAGCCACCCCTGAGGGTGACAGCCTGGGCTTTGCATTTCTGCAATAGCTGTAGTCTTGAAAACTCGCAGAGCAGTTCTAGCCTGTCCGATCGGGTTGCTTGAGCGTGGACTCAATGGCAATGAAGTATATATTTTTATATTGAACTGTATATGTGAAATATGTGTCAATATAAGTATTCATTAAAAAGAAAACACGACAGAGATGTAAAAAGGAGGAATAGTGCGGTTCCTGATCTGTGCTCAAGATGTAAGTTATGGAAAAAGTTTCCTTCCTCATTCGCTCCTGGCCACACACAACTGTAGCAAGTTTATTGCCCCCACATTTTTCCTTTTCCTAAAAAGGGGGGCCCTTTTATAAAAATCACAATCTACTATTTTGACTTACTGTTAGAAACACACTAAAATATGAGGGTCCAAGAAAAAAAACACCTCAAGAATGTTTGGAGTGTACACACTTGCTCACTGGAGTCCCTAGTGGGCCAACCGGATAAAGCTCTTGGCTGTTAACCCAAAGGTTGGAGACTCTCAAGTCCATCCACCACTGCAAACCCTACTATGGGGCCCAATCTGCTGTGACACACAGGGGTTACCAAGGGTCAGAATCTAGTGATGGCACCTGGGGGGTTTGGTCTTTGACCAACGGGGGGTTGGGTGGGGGGGTGGGGAGGGCGGGAAGCTAACAGATAACAAGGAGAGTGAAGATGCAGCCAGCATGGCAGCTTGTCCTTATGTAACAAGGTTTTTAATGTCTTTATTTCAGGCTCACCATCATGGAGACCCTGTCAGAAGCCAATGGCACCTTTGCCTTAAACCTTTTGAAAAAGCTGTGTGAAACCCACTCACAGAACATATTCTTTTCACCCGTCAGCATCTCCTCGGCCCTGAGCATGGTCTTCATGGGGGCAAAGGGGAACACTGCTGCCCAGATGTCCCAGGTACTGAAAGCCATTTCAAGGCAACAGTAAACACTCTTCAGTTGTGGATTGACCGGTCTTTCAAGATTTAATACCAAAGACGTTGTCCTTAGCAGAGAACTCTGCTTGTGTGGCAGGGAACAGCAGAGGGAGGGGGTTGTCAGAGAACCTGCTACCACTGCAGTGCCCCTCCCCCCTCCCCCCCACCGTGGGGATCTCAGGGAGCTTTTCTGAAGGTTCTATTGATCTGTTGGAGAGAGTGTGGGCACTTTATACAAAAGATTGATTTAGCCACCACTTTGGGATAATTGTTGGGTTTCTGAATAGACACTAAAGACATATGTCAAGGTTGCATGTCAAGGTCGCGTCGTGTGATATGGTGAGGCTTAAGCATTAAAAGGAAATCTGCCCCGCTCTATGCTCTGCCTCAAAGGCATCCCACGCACAGTGATGAGATTGGTTTGGGAAGAGTGCTGGCAAAGACGAACGCAGCGTGCAACAGCGGCAGGTGTGTGGGAGTCATGCAGCAGTCTGCAAACCATGGCCGCTGGGAAGCTCAGCCAGGTGCTTTTTGACTTCTGCTTTGAGAACCTGGAACATTCCTGGTGCTGCCTTAACTTGTCCTTCCTGTGAACGGATTCCTTATCTTCTTTGGTGTCTGGTTTCAGTGACTTAGAGATCTGCTTTTTAAATTTTTTTTTTTTCATTTTCCGTAAGAAGTGTCCCATGTTACTAACCAGCTATGAGCCTATTTCCTGTCCAGAGAAATTGGGGGCCTAGAGATCTCTCCCACACGGAACTGTCTCTCACTTTCAATCCAAGTTAGGGCAGCTCCTTCCACACCTTAGTGGGTTTTCTTCAATTAACAATCCACATCATTAGACAGAAGGTACAGCCACCAGTCTGTCTGCGATAGGACTTTGTGTATTTTGAGTCGAGAGTCAGGGGATTGTGAGACGTTGACTCAACGGATAGTCTCTGAGATTCTGCCTTCATCCTTGTGTGACTTTGTAGTAAAGCAGGTTTTTAAAAAAATATATTTTTATTGTTAATTAGATGAATGTGTACTAAGTAGATCATAGGTTTACATCCAACAATTCGTATATTTTCTGATTCAGCTTAACCAATTTCAGTCCCCTCAATGTATCATGACTTAATGACTTAACTCACTTCCTCTCTGTATTACTTGTTTCCTCTTTTTAAAAAAAATCATATTTGGGGCTCATACAGCTCTTATCACAATCCATCCATCCATCGTGTCAAGCACATTTGTACATTTTTTGCCATCTTCATTTTCAAAACATTTTCTTTCTACTTGAGCCCTTGGTATCAGCTTCTCATTTTTTTCTCTTCCCTCACCCACCTCCCTCCCTCATGAACCCTTGATTATTTATAAACTATTATTATTTTTTCATGGTTTACATTCACTGCTGTTTCTATAGGATTCAATTTTAAGGAAAGTTATTTCTAATCATTTTATTGGGGCTCACACAATTTTGATCACGATCCATACACACATCAATTGTGTCAAGCACGTGTGTGCATTCCTTGATCTCAAGATTCTCAAACATGTGCTCTTCACTTAAGGCCCTGGCATCAGCTCCTCCTTTCCCCCTCTCTTGCCGCTCCCCTCTCTCTCATCAACCCTTGATAGTTTATAAATTATTATTTTGTCATATCTTACACTATCCAACGTCTCCCTTCACCCACTTTTCTGTTGTCCATCCCCCAGGGAGGAGGTTATATGTAGATCTTTGCAATCGGTTCCCCCTTTCTACCCCACCCTCCCGCAAACCTCCCAGTATCCCTACTCTCGGCACTGGTCATAAAGCAGGTTTTATGGTCACAGCCTTGGTGGCTTCTGGACCCTGGGGTGACTACCTTAGGTTTTGTCCTTGTCCTGAGAGCATGCCTTATGTTTAGAGTGGTTTACCAGCTGGAGCGTTCGGGGAGAGCCCCGGGTTTTCTTCCCACCGTGCTCATCTTGAGTTGGAAACCATTCTTTGAGCTGTAGCTGGACAGCTGGTCGTTCCTTGTCAATCTCATCTTTGACCTCCCATGCTTTCTCTTGAGCTGCTAGGTGTGCTGCTAGGCGCCACAACGCTGGTTCAGATCCACGCCCACCCCCATCCAGTGGTACAAGCTGGCTGCCAGGCTCTGCGTCACGTTCACAGAAGCGCTGCTGGTTCAGCACGCCTCTGCTAACTAGAGGGTCACATGTTCAAGCCTACTAACCGTTCCGCGTTGTGATGTGCTTTCATGAAAACGGCCTCCTGGGAACCCCCGGGAGGCCATTCTCCTCCATCCGGTACAATAGCTATGAGTCCAAGTCAACTCGACAGCAATAGAGTTACAGTGGTTTTTCATCCCTGGTTTAAAAAAAAAAGCCATTTGACATTCTTCCTGGAAATCTTATCCAGACGTATCAGTCTAATGACAGGATTTTCTACCTTTTCTGCTACTTTAAGTCATCGCCTCTTTGGTCCTTGTTATGAATACATGTGTGTGCCCACTATCCAGATCTTAGGAAGTCTTCCTTATAGTTCCAGCCTCTGTCAGCAGAAGCACACACGTTTTACCTTCCAGCCTCTGCCTGTCACCTTCTTCCTCAGTCAGTGCCACATGTTTTATATGTTTGCTATGTTAGACCTTCACCTCTAAGGAGCATTGCTTAAGTATTGCTAAGTATTATCTCTTGATGCAATAAAATCATTCCAAGGCTCTGTGTCCTCAATGGATAATGATGGATTATTTTTAGAATCTGTGCGTGGACTGAGGAGCTTCTGCTCATTGTGTGACCAGCCAGGGCCACTCATGTGGCTACTTCACAGGGTTTTGGACAGGGCCATTTCACTAGTAGGACTTTGTGGCCCACAATTGGCTTGCAACTTGATTGTCCAAGTGGTGTCACTCCTCTGGAGCCTTGACGTGGCCTCTTCAGGAGGGAAACTTGATCTTCCACACATCATAGTGGCCTGACTACAAGGGTGTGAGAGTGGAAACTACCAGGCCTATGAAGGACGAGGGCTGTCATAGCCTCCACTCTGCTGCATTTTCAGATCAAAGCAGGTCTCAGAGCTGGACTAGATCCGATAGTTGGATAAAGAGACTCCACCTTGTAATGGCAGCAATCAATCCCTGAGCACAGAGGGACAGGGAGTTTGACAGCGACGTTTGCAGACAAAATACCCCAACTGGTGAAAACAAATATCCTAGGCATTCTGTCAGGGTTTGCGGAAGGCTATTTTTATTGCTACCAATACGTAGAATATTTTGTTTTCTTCTTTTTATGATTCTGGAGAATCCTTAGATGAGGTACAAGCAGAGGGCTATCATCATAAAGCTCTACTATGGGTCTGGAGACTTGGAAGTGTTGAGTGTTGGGTGGGACCGTTTCTTGAACTCAGGGACACTGAAGACCTGTATTGTTATCCTGGTTTCATTGCAGGTGCTTTCACTGGATAAAGTCGGAGGTGGAGGTGCAGATGCGCACCAAGGCTTCCAGTGGCTTCTTTCTGAGGTCCACAAGCCCAGCACTCAGTACTTGCTGAGAACCGCCAACAGGCTCTTTGGAGAAAGGACTTATGACTTCCTCTCAGTAAGTCTTGCCTCTGGATTTTCACTAGGGAACTGGAGGCAGCATAGCAGAGGGGAGGAGGGACGGTGTGGGAGAGACCAAGAGGAGAGCGGGTTGTGACTTCAGGTCTCCAGTCACAGACCACACCCAGCTCCTCCACCTGCTGAGGTGCTGTGCCATCTGTAAAATAGGCTTCCTGATAAACATCATCTTGCATATGTGAAGCTGAAATGAGCCAACAGTCACACCTGGAATAAGCGAGACTGAGCCCGCATTGAAATGAATTGTCTAAAGTGAAGCAGCAAGCATGGGGCATATTTCTAATCTCTTGTAGGAACATGGAGAACTTTATGGTGTTTTATGTAAATTCTGCAACTTTTCACATGTTTTAATGTTTTGATTGTTACTTCAGACCCCAAATCTTATTTCAGTTTCTTTGGCCAATGATTACACCAGCTGTTTTTGTGTGAGACTGTTTGTTCGATTGTTTTTCATTTTTAAAAGGATACTGAAGTGATCTCTGAGTATATTTGCATTTGATGTAAATGTTCCTAAAGTCAACATAGCAAGAGTCCACACCATCCTCTTTTCCACCCCTGCCTACTGCCCTCTCCTACCTTTATGACAGCAGGTATCCCTTCGGCACACGGAGAAATTTGTAACCTTTACAGTTTTTGTCACATTACGTCGTATGATTACATGGTTTTTTAAGGCCATATGGTATTACACTATGCTTTTAAATTGTTTTTGTTTGTTTGTGTCAGATTGTAAATTAATACTTTTAAAAAATTGCTATGACGTGAACATGGTTGACTATAAGATGAAGTACAATTAAGATTTCCATACTATACAGGGATTTCGACTACTTATTTTATGTTTTTTTTAATCTGTTTTAGCTATGGGGTGGGCCACTCTCTGTTGATAAGCTTGCACTATAACTTCCTGACATTGAGTGGATGCTGACTCACAGATACCCCCTAAGACAAGATCCAGCAGCTCAGTGTCTGTTTCCTGATCTCCTGGATGCACAGCTCAAAGCACCCAGCAGTTCATGAGCACCATTCCATATCCACAGCACTGCTTCTGTCAGTTGGATTCAAACATCGCAATGGCTGTGATGACGGGGCGGTGCTAGGCTAGTGGCACAGGGTGTCGGCATGTGTTGGAACTGATGCTAAAACACCCAGCCCCTCCATCGTCAACCGCAGATTTCATTTAGTGCATAAGCAACGATGAAACAAAGAGGAAATCAAGAAAGGTGGATGTCAAGTTAATGCCGCACATCTATTTGGAAATTACATATGTAAATCATTTCACATTTGCTGCTCTGATGCAGCAGAGTGAAGAACTTATGTAGTTGTTGATTGTGTCTGTCGCTGTGCACTGATGTCATTCTGTCCATCCCAGTCTTTTAAAGATTCCTGCCGCACCTTCTACCAGGCAGACATGGAGGAGCTGGACTTTGCTAATGCTGCAGAGAAGTCCAGAGAGCACATCAACTCCTGGGTGGCCGAGAAGACCGAAGGTAATAGAGACGTTCCTTCTGTTGCAATAGATTCTCATCAGCCTCATTGCCAGTTCCTTCACCAACTCCCAAATGTACACAGGGCTACATACCTTGCTTGAATAACTATGCACATTAAAAAATATTTGGAACATATGCCCAACCAATGGCATATTCTCGAGCATTTTCTCTGCACTCATATCTATTTTCATCAGTGTCTTTCAATGTGCATTGGATCTCGTCTAGGACAATCCATGCTCTGTTATGTGTCTGTTGGTGTGTAATCTTTCTTTCCCACAGCTGAAATAATGAAAATGACTCCCTCCAGGGTTTGGGCTTGTGGAGATCCTGGGCTTCTGGAGGCAAAACTCCACACATCTCTGCCTTCATCTTTCCATGGCCCCTTCCTCCTTTGATCTGTCCGTTTGTGTCTCTTCTCTTTCAGGCCCCACTTACTCCAGTATGACCACAAGACAGCTCCCCACATCTGCAAAGTCCCTATTTACAAAGCAGATTATACTCAAGGGTACTGGAGTCCAGGGTTGAGGGCTTGCGCATGTCTTAGGGAAAGACACAAGTAAAACCATAACAACTCTTAAAGGTCCTGAATGTCACTCCTGATGTCTGAATCAGAAAGCTACTTGGGCTCACGTGCCTTACTTCTTCACAGGTAAAATTACTGAGTCGCTCTCCTCGGATTCAGTGGATTCCTGCACGAAGCTGATTCTTGTCAATGCCATCTACTTCAAAGGGAAGTGGGATAAGCCATTTTCCAAAGCGAGCACCCGGAAAAGTACCTTTAAAATCAACCAGGTGAATGTTTGTGCATAGCACAAGTGATCTGAGGGAACAATTTCTGTGTTGCTCTTGCGTTTAAGGCATGCAAGTAAGTTCACTTCCAGGGGTTCCGATTCCCGTGGCCCTCGGTGCTCAGGGTGTGGAGCAGCAGCCAGGAGCACTTGTCTTATCTTGCTTCCCCACGGTCTGTCTCTGGAAAGTGGCTGCATACTCCTAAGCCCTGCTCTGACTCCCTAGAATCTTCTTTCCTGGTTCCGGAGTGTTCTATCAATACCACAGCTCAGGCCCATTAGCTCTTATCTTACCGTCATCCCACCCTTGCACTCTTGCTTAGATAATGTCCGCAAAACTGGGTATCACCTTGAGGCTCTTTATAGCCTCTCTGGTTCATTAGCATTCCGTTTCAGCAAGCTCTTATCCTTCCTCCAATTCCCAGGGGGACCGTATCTGTCCTCTGGAACAATTATCTTCACCCTGTTCCCATGACCCTTCCCCTCAGCCACAGAGTCCTGTGCCTGTGCCCAGGGGAGCAGGGCCGTGAGCGAGGACTGGTCTGTGCTTCCTTCCTGGCGCACAACCCTGGAAGGGAGAGACTGCTGTTTCACTACTACCCACACCTTGTTGTTGCCCAACAAAGATGCAGCAAGCCAGTGATCCTCCTTTACTCTCTGAGAAACACAATATGCACCCAGACACTTGTTTGAAAATAGGGGAATATGGTGAAAGTTCTCTTAAGGGAGATTGTGTTAGACAGGGGTCTCTAGAGAAACAAAATCAGAATGCTAATAATTTTATATATATTTATACAGATAGATAGATATGTAACATGAGAAATAAACAGTTGATTAAATTATAAAGCAGAACAAATTGCTCAGTGCAACTCACTCCTCTGAGACAGTTGTGAGACACTGGCGGTCCTTCCAGTCTTGAGGGCCACCAGGTAGTCCTCTGTAGAGCAATTCAGGCTATCTGGGCACAGGCAGCAAAGAACAAAGCAGGTCACCAACAGTCAGCCAGATGACAGGGTCTGACAGTCCCCAGCTCAAGAGATGTAAAGTCCAATAGTGTGGTAAAACAGGTCTTGAAGGAACCTCAAATTACAGCAACACAGTCTGTGGGTTAGGTGTCTCACAGGTAGTGTAGCTTGCAAATTGAGACAAAGAACAAGCAAGGTAGCTGCACATTCATCTGATGATCAAAGACCAAGAGACAAGAGGGTCGAGGCTCGCTGAGCCATTTATCTCTCTGCCCTGCAATTAATCCCACATGTGTTCATTGGCCATGTTGGCACAATAAATATTAACTATCTCAGTGATGAAAAACTTTGAGCACAGTTAAGGGTGGTGGCTTGGCAGCATTATGAATACACCCATATTTCATGTTTCTAAAAGGTTCATGCAAAACCTATTAAAATGGCAAATATTTTGTTGCCTATGTGTTTTTCACTATTGATATAAATAAAAAGGAGATGTGAACAAGGACAGGTCTATTGGATTGATGCAGAGTTTAGCTCCATCCTACATCCAAGGTCTTGTTCACCGCCGGACTTCCCCTTTCTCACAAATCTATGTGACCTTGTCTGCTTTGCTTACTTTGCTTACACAGGGTTCTGTGAGAAGTAGATGTCATAGATTCTGTGGCTGCTTGCTCAGCTTGAGACGGAACCGTTGTTTTTTCCAGAGGGTTATTTTCATTCCAGCATTGGGACAATTGTGAGACCGGTGAAAGACCCGGCAGTGTTTCCTTCTGTCTACACAGAGTTGCTATGTTTCTGAACTGATTCCATGTCACCAACTATCACCAACAACAGTGTGCGCTCCAAGTTTTATTCTGAAATGAATGTCCTGCCTTCCTTTGGGAAACGCTTGAGAACTTCCTGAAAATTCTTTAACCAGATGGGAATCTGAACTGCCTTCAGTAGCAGGCACAGAAATGGCAGCTTGTGTTAGTCCGGGTAGTCTAGAAACAAATTCACACAGATGCTTATACGTGTATAAGACAGCTTTATACACAAGAGCAGTTGAATATGGAGAAAACATCCCAGCCCAGTCCAGATCAAGTCCGTAAGTCTGAAATTAGCCCATATGTCCAATACCAATCTATAAAGTCCTTTTCAGACTAATGAAACACATGCAATGATGCCAAGTGCAGGAAGGCCACAGGCCACTGAGTGGAAGGTCTTATGGATCCTCAGTGCTGGCAGGTGGCTGGCCATGCGGCTTCTCCTGATCCAGATGTCTGGCGCCTTCAGCCTCTCCTCTTGTCTCTGCTCCACAGGGATGTCTTTCTGGGACTGAGTGTGTGTCCCGCCTCCCGTGAGCTATTTATCTCCTTCGCTCCTCCAAAAGGAGCACACTAAGCTACTACCTGATTGACAGGCTAGATTCCACCCCTTCACTCTGAATCTCCAAATTGATACCAGATTATGTGTCTACCACACGGCTCGTGCTCCTCTAACCTGATAGGAGTTTGTCTTTCATACCTTGAGGTGACTGCCGAGCAGGCTGGTGTGAATCTGGGTGATTCTCTCAGGGAATCAGACTGGTTCTCCTCCTGTGCTGTCATACTTACAGCGTGGGGGTCTTCCTGCTGCTGACACGGGTGCAGAGACATCACAGCCACAATCCAGGTGCCGGGAAAAGCACGTATAAAGGGAAAGAACAAACTCTCCTCCTTCTGAGATTCACAGTCGGAACCATTGCTGCTATATCGCATTTCTCGGTGTTGGGCCTTGCCCTGGGGCTACAAGGAGAGGGGAATTTCTACTTGCCCTTTAGGGTCTACAGTAGAGAGAGACAAGCTATAAAGATGTCCTCATGATTGTTTAGGGTACCACTTACCAGAAGTAGATGCCTCAAAGGGTATAGATTTTGGGGTTGGTGGGAATTTTCATGTGAATGCCTTTCTTTATAAATAAAATGAACTATAACCCCACCAATGATTTTGAGTGGGTTATTCAGTTACTACAAATGATATATTTGAACAAAGATATGTCAAATGTGTACTTATTGCCTTTGACCTCTTGGCTACCAAAGGTAACAAATCAAATAGTTGCAACATAAAGGGAATGGCATTGAGACATGAGGAAGATGGGAGGTAGGTAGAAAGTCAGTAAGCAAATAGTAAGAAGTCAGTAGTGCCTGTTGCATGGGAGATGTATGGCCTGCATCCAATGTCAAAGTTCTATGGGCAGTGAGATATGTGAGCGAGGGGCGCATAGAGGAGCAACTTTGTGGAAATCAGGCAATTCCAATCCTTGTGTTAACGCTCATGTTTCACCATCTTGTTGTTGTTTTCATTTTTGTAGAAGGAGGAGAAACCCATCCAGATGATGTTCCAGGAATCTATGGTGAAACTGACTTATGTACAAGAAATATCCACTCAGATTCTCATGCTTCCCTATGTTGGAAGGGAGCTAAATATGATCATCATGCTTCCGGATGAAAACATTGATTTAAAAATGGTAAGGGGAGGTGGGTGTGGGAGACCTGGTAGGGCAGGATCAAGGGGAACGTAACAAAGAGGAAGTGCTGAAATCCTGGTGGGGACTGAGCATGATAG